ATAATCAAATGGTTGGAAGGGTTGTTAATTTTTTTCTAAGACAAAAAGAGCTTCCAGAACTGTCTTGACCTTTCATCTAAACTACTGTGTGCCCAAGAATCAGTCATGTGGCCAGACTAGCTGAAAATATCCCCAAAAGAGGGTTCTGTCCTCAAATAAAACGCTGATTCTCCAGAAAATTAAAAAAAAAAAAAAAAAGTAAGAGTTGACATCTGAGTGATTTTTCACCTGAAAAATACGATGTGATGGTTAAAGCGGTAGTTCAGCTGACACAAAGAGGAGATTTTTTGAAGTGACAGTGGCAACGAAAGGTTTAGTATCAAGTTCTCTTCTACTCAGTGATGTAGAAAACAAATAGTGTATAAGGAGCCCTAAAGTGATACGAAGTTGCAGTTATCACTGAATTTTTGTGCACGTTGCCCTTGATTCAGGAGATCATACCACATGCTGTGACATGAGAGACCAATGGAAAAAAAAAAAAAATGACCAAAGATTATATATTCAATGAAGAACAAAGAATAGAACTTAGACTTGTAAAATGGGGGATTTAGCCCGAAATACACAACCTTTAAATGAAAGTGTGCTCATAATAACCCATAGAATGGACCAGATTCGGCTTTGTCATTTACGTATTTAAGCTCCTTAAAAATCTGTGATAAACAGTGTTACAAATTCTGTCTAAAAGTCAAATGGGCTAATGGCCATAGAAACCACATTTTCCTCTTAAGGCCTCGAGTCAGATGGTTGGTCAGAGGGCACTGACTTTCTTCATGGTTCCCAGTAGCAGTCAGGAGGTACGTTCCCAGTACGAGCTAACAATGTAGTAGCTTACTTCTCCCGTGAAAGAGGGACACTACCTCGTATTTATTAGGGAAATGCTTACAGACAATTACCACAGAGCAGCTGACGGGTGATACCTCGCTATCCCGCAGGTTGTCTGCCAGTGCAGTTTTTGAGCGACTTTCTCTTCAACATTTTTGTCTGATTTCTTTTCCATTTACAAATACAATCTTAACATTAAATTACAAGGTAGTACATTTACGTTAATAAGAACTTCATATTTCGACAGAGTGCATCAGGAGACTTAATGATTAGAAACATCCAGCTGAAACATAGTGGAAAATATGTTTGTATGGTGAAGACAGAAGTGGATAGCGTAGCATCTGCAGCAGACCTTATCGTACGAGGTAAATTTCAGCTTCAGTTACCACGAATCATATTTTCTAACTTTTTTATATTGTAGATTACAAAAACAATTTATGACTTGAGCGATGGGTTGTATGACTGTGGCTTGAGTTACGTCATTCTGCCCTGCAGTTAGGGAAAATTTTAGCTCGGTTTTTGGGTGAAGCTGATACTTTCCCTGAGAAATTAAGAGCTGAAGGATATAATATTGACTTCGCATCTTTTCTCACAGACAGTCCTTCAAGTCACTGCCGTGAGGGAACTCCGTAGTGGCAGCCACGAGCGAGTTGTGAGTTGCTGCCTCCGCAAACCGAACAGTCGGGGTTGGTGACTCCAGAATCCTTCCTGTGAAATGGGCAACTGCTGCCAGAGCCTGAGAGGCTTTGTCCTAGGGACACGCTGGAGTTTAAAGCATGTAACGCAGGCTTATTCCTTTTCACTCAGAGCTGGAATGATCACAGATAAACCGCAACTGTAGCTTTCTTTGATGATACAGCTACAATTATTGCAAGAGAAGAGCTTTGATGTAGGAAAGTACATTATGTGTGATCACCACTTAATCGGTACATGTTAAAATATGCCAGATATTTTCTAACTGTCGATGTACTGTTAGTTATTTCAACCCTCCTTGCTGGTGTGGACGAGACAAAAACCAGCATTTTTGCCAGGATGCCCAGAATCAGGATTTTCCAGAAGGCAGCAGAAAGCTTGCCTGACTAAATTGCTGCGCGGGGTGCTGATCAGATGTTGTGCTGAAGAATTGCTACAGTGCATTGTACAGTAAAACAGCTGTAGATAACAAATTGGCAGACTACAGAGATGTATTAGTAGATTAAAAGAGGACATTGAGGACTAGAGTAAAAAACACTGGAAAGATAGAGGGATCACGCTGAACAAAGGTTCTTGGAAAAAAAACAAACCCCTGTCTCTGTGCTGCGGTTCAGAGTACTGCAGAACTAGATTATCAGAGTCAAGTTTATGAATGTAAAACAATAACTACGAGTGTTCTTATTCCAAGCTGAATGGTTTTCTTCCTCCCACAGCGCTGATAAAATGGGAATCCATACTGCTCTGTTAGTGATTTCCAGGGTAGTGGCTTTACAAAACACCGTGTCTTTTCCAATCTGATTCCAGGCTCGCCTGGGCCCCCTGAACATGTGAAAGTGGATGAAGTAACTGATACCACTGCTCAGATCTCCTGGCAAGAGGGCACAGATAATCACAGCCCGGTAACCGCTTACACCATACAAGCAAGAACACCCTTTTCAGTTGGCTGGCAGCGAGTTACAACAGGTAAAACACAATTCTTGTTACAGGCTCTGTTGAAATGTTTTTGACGAGGGACATCATGTTCTTAGTTCTCTGTTTTCCTTTCTTTTTGTTTTTTAATAGTGCCAGATGTGATCGATGGAAAAACATTCACAACCACAGTAGTGGATTTAAATCCTTGGGTTGAATATGAATTTCGTGTAGTTGCCAGTAACAAAATAGGAGGTGGAGAACCTAGTTTACCCTCAGAAAAAGTAAGAACTGAAGAGGCAGGTTAGTGGGTTCTTCTATTTGTTTTTAATTCAAGAATCTCGAATACTAACCAGGAAGGAGTGTTGCTGTCCTTGGCTCTTCGCAAACAAGCGTGGAATTGCCATGGAATATAAAAGCCTGTAACTAGTTTGTTCATGATTTTTCCATTTAGCTGTGGGACAGTTTGTGTGTTGCATTACCGAACGTCACAGAAGCATAACATCATTAAATACATTCAAACTGTATTTCGTATGCCAAAGCCTGTCCGTTCAGGCAGTGCTGCAGAGTCTGAAGGTATTAATGGATGGAAAGAGGTTAATTGTGACAGGGTTTTTTCATTCCTAGTGTTTGATCAGTGTATACCTTCCATGTAACAAGCATGTGGCTCAGAAGAACGCATCAATTAAAACCCCAGGAGTTTACCTGGAATAAGGCCATCGCCCAATACATCTGCATAAGTTAACCCTGTTAAAAAAATGAAGCATGCCTCCAATGTTTAGCAGTTCCTAAGCATTAGCATACGTGGTTCAGTCTGCGAGCTAGTGAGGTTTGTCAAGCGCTCCGAAAAAAATCAGCCAGCAGCAGTGATGGAAAGCAGCAGGGTCCACGCAGGACAGAGCTGGGGCTTCCCAGGACTGGCCACCCGGCCTCAAAAGCATTTAGCTTGATTTGCAAAAGCGATACGAATACATCGGGGTTAGCTTCAGAGCATGAGGTTAACATTATATGATGTCGTCTCTTGTATCTACACTGTGTAGACAGCTATACGTTTCCTTTTCACAGTTCCCGAAATTCCCCCATCTGAAGTCAGTGGGGGAGGAGGCAGCAGGTCTGAACTGGTCATAACATGGGATGTAAGTTTTCTGGCAAGCAATTTTCTTCAGAGAATGATTGTTTTCATTCAAACTCTTCTTAAAAGATGAATTTCCCTGGCTGCCAGCAGCTTCTCATCTAGGATGTATATGTGCTCGGTAACATTCTGTGATGTGAGCTATGCACGTTTGCCTTCCCTCTTTCACTTTCATGTGTTACTGTGCAATCAGTAGGAAATTCAGTTAGTTTGTCTGAGATTGCTTCTGTTCCCAAACAAATGTTAACGCTAAAAAGGGGGCAGGAGGGCAGCGGAAGAGGAAGGAGTATTGCTCAAAGGTCAAAGAATTATGCTTTTCAGTGCAAATTTGCAATTTTTGCTTTCCTACCATTAACTCTGGATGCATGTGCTAGCCAATGCAAACAATTAGGTACTACTTTATATTATGTATCCCCTTTTTAACGAGTTAAAAAATGTTACCATTCTGTTACTAACATTGACTACTCTGTGTGGTTATCTAATCATAATCACATCAGAGGAGGGTGTAAGCTACTGTATAAAGGTAGTATTGGATTCTGTGATAGTTGACTAAGCAATTATTCACTTTTTATGAGCTATGGATTGTGAAATTGAAAAAAAAAAATGTATTTATTGAAGAGTGTCTTAAAACAGTACACGTAGTGGAAAACAAGGAATATACCTGAAAGTTGTTCTCATCTTGAAAAGCAAACCTTAAATTGAATCAAAGGAACACGTTTTCCTCTGCCGTACCAGAGTTAATTCGCTGAGGGGATGATCCCAAATGCAGTACCAGAACCTGGTTACAGTTACGATTGCTGTGTTAGTCTGTCCGTACTTTCTTCCTGCAAGATGTGTCCAGTGCTGTATGTAGCTTCACAGCCTTCTGCCCTCTTGCTTTTCTCACAGCCCATCCCTGAAGAATTACAAAATGGAGAAGGATTTGGCTACGTTGTTGCTTTCCGCCCCTTTGGCACCACAACGTGGATCCAGACTGTGGTCACCTCTCCCGACACACCGAGATACGTCTTTAGGAATGAAAGCATCTTGCCCTTTTCACCATACGAAGTCAAAGTTGGCGTCTATAACAATAAAGGAGAAGGGCCGTTTAGTTCAGTAACCACAGTTTTTTCAGCTGAAGAAGGTATGCGATCGAGTGATCTCCAGATACTTGACGTGACATGTTTCGTCAGAGAATAGAGCAACGGTTACTGGAAAAGAGATCACTTTGAATGTGACCTGTTTATTTCCACAGTCACCGCTGCTGCTGATCATCTCTCATTTCTTGATTTCCGAATACAGAGCCTAGCACAGCACCCTCCGGTGTATCTGCGACGAGTCTGTCCTCCTCGGTCATCGAGGTCTCCTGGACCCCCATTCCCTGGAAGATGAGCAGTGGAAGGTTGCTGGGCTACGAGGTAAGTACACTTTAACGTTGTGTACTTTGTAAAGGGCCGGGAGCCAGAAGGGTCATGCAGGCTGCAGGACAGCAGCACAAATTTACCAAAGGTTACCGTATGTCTTGCTTGCTTCCTGCTCCACCTGCACCCAGAAGGATATTTTCTTCTTCTAAGTATCTCTGCAATCAAAAAACCACAGAATTAAATGGCATTTTGTTTTCTGTGCCGATAGTCCTGTGTCTGCCTAACTGTGTTTTCAAACTGCCGTATTTTTCCAGAATTTACATTTGTTTCCAAAGAAACTGTTTAGTAAGGTACAGTTTTCTGAGTTTAACTTGTTTACTTTTTTAGATGAAGTATTTGGTTTTCCTCTTGTCATTTTTTAATTCAAGCAACATCGGATAGTTCACTTTTTTTTTTTTCCTACAGTCACACTCAAAAGAGCAGCAAGCGTGAAAAGCAGATGGATAAGAATTTATTTTTTTTTTTTACATAAGTAAACGTATTCTTGAAACTTGAATGCATTTCCACCTTCTTCAGCTGAGGAAAAAAAAATACATTTAAAGAAGTCAAATGCAATGCTGTGGGTGAACGGTCCATTCCATGCAAGAATTTAAATGGTTTTGTTTCATATCTACTAGGTTAGGTACTGGAATAATGGAGGGAAAGAAGAATCTTCAAACAGAGTCAAAGCTGCAGGGAATGAGACATCAATAAGAATAACAGGTTTGAAGAGCAACTTAGCATACTACACGGCTGTCCGTGCTTATAACAGTGCTGGAGCAGGTCCCTTCAGTGCCACAGTAAATGCTACCACAAAAAAGACACGTAAGTATCCTGAATTTAAAGCGGGGAGAGACATAACGGTGTTAGCACTTGCAGGCAAATGAAAAATAGGCGCATTACCGGGAGTCACAATATGCATAAATGACCTGGATTTTCATACAGACTGAGAGAGTTACACAATTAAATCAAGCATAGATCTTCCATTTTCTACCCTCTGCTCCTTTAGCAGGATGAGTAAGTAAAACTCAGCTGTGCCAGTGGAGCTGAAGTAAGCTATATAATTTCTTCACAGAACCTCTATTACTCTTCCAGTGACTGGAAGAATTTTAGAAGAAAAATTTCTGTTATTTGGAAGGAAAACAACAGAGACTTGTTGAATTTTTCAGGGTTTTATAACATATTTATAAGTTCTGTAGGGCATGGCTTTTGAAATGCAGCGATCCTCATACAATTCATGCAAAACAGTCCTTCATGTCCGTTGTTTCTCCTTGAACAAATTGCACAAGAGGCCACTTTACTGTTAAAAAGGAGAAATAAAGCTGGAGAGCAGATTGTCAACGGCTGCACTAATTTTTCTTGAAACGGAAATATTTTTAGTATGCTCTTGCCTCGTAATACAACTCAGAATCAGGGTCATCGATCGTGAAGTATTTCTGTCAGACTTGCAAGAATGTACACTTCAACCTGTCTGAAAGGTCAAAGTCCCTGGAAGAGTCATTAACATCCTTCTACCAAAAGTAGTTGCATCATCAATATTATGAAATAAGCTAGTTTATCAGAAATTATGGTATGCAAAAACGAGTGTCACTGAGGACTAAACCAACTCAGAATAACTTACATTTGCTAAAGTTCAAGTACATTATATGCGTAGGTAACATGAATTGGCTGATCTGAAGTAACTCACTGCCTGTAGCCTGTACCTGACGTGTGATGAATTGTTTTCTCTAATGAATCATCTTCGTGGCTGCTGGCTGCTCAGTAGAGGTTGTGCCAGCCTGGTCAGCTCAGTGAGTGTTCAGTCCTTTCTTAGTGAACACCTGCCTTTGGGATGTGTGACTAGAACTGGACAGGATCTGCTTTGGGCTCTTAGTCAAGATTGCTGCTATTTGGAATAATTAAAAAGAGAAATTAGTTGCATTATTACCATGTATCTTGCTGGCAAATAAAGAGAGCAAAAACACTGCAGTACAGTATAATGTCAATCTGAAGGATTTTGCTAAGTACTAGTTGAATTGACAAAGACAAAGAATTTGCTGTACTGCTGCGGTAGAAACTGATTTTTCATTCAAATGTGTGATTTTTAATCAATCCCAATTTCTACCTTCACTTGAATATTTGGGATCGATGTGTTTTTCAGAGGGAAGGATTTCTGTGCACGTTGCATTTATATTCACTCACCTGACCTACAAGATACTTCTCAGTAACTATCAGCCGTATCAAGAAACACCCAAGTACTTCAGTTCAACTGGCAGTGTATTTCAAGACTGAAAATTCAGTCTTTGACCATTAAAATATCTTTGCTTTTATATTTATTTGAATTATTCATAGCCCAAAATAACAAGTGTGGTTTTGTTTTATAAAATACAGCTACATAAAATGGCGAGTAACTGGGGAAGACTTGCCTAAGTTTATAAGGCAAGATGTTACAGTTACATAATCTTTAGAAAGTCTTAAAATACCGCCAAATATTCTGTCCATCGGTTCTAATTCAGAGAAATACTAGTGTATGTGGCCAACCTGAAGCACTGGAGGAGTCAGAGCAATCCGTGTAGCTGTTTGGGTGCACACGGAGCGCTGGACACGTCCGTACGTGGTATGGCGGCTCAGGACCTGACCTGTTAGAAATTAAGCTCCGCGGTTCTGGACAGTGAAGATTATCGGCGATTTTGGTGTCTGAAGCGAATGGGAGCCTTCTGAATCACTTCCATAAGTGAAGTGATAGAGGCTTACAGTTTTTATATATATAATTACCCTTCATTTTTTTAGATGTCATATTACTATTTTGTTGTGGATTGAAAAGAATGAATCATTTCATTTGAAATTCAGATTTAATATCTCAGTGTGAAAACTATTCATAGATGCTGTAATACTTAGTTCTCAGAAGTAAAACAATCTCCCCTTACATTTACAAAAAGTGGCTATTAGTGCATCAAGTTAAATCCTATTCAGTATATAGAACAAGGTATTTTTTTGCACTGTGAGTACTTGTTTGACTCAAAAGAATTATTCTAAAGTCTCGCTCTTAGATTTTTGTGTCTATTTTGTGTTAAGAAGTATAATCGGGTGGGTTTTGATCTGACTGCTCATGGAAAGGTAGGGAGCTACCTGTGTGAAAGAATGTAAAAATAGAGGGGTAAAAAAAGAGCCATAAGCACATGCATAGGAGTGTTTAAAACCATTGTCAGCGTTTAACACTGGAACCTTCAGCATCAAAGCGTAGCGCGGTCCACCTAAGCAGCAGTTGCCTCCACTAGGTGACAGCAACAGTAAATTGTTTTCCTTAACACACTGAGAAAAGATTTTAATTGTTGATTGTGTCACTGCATGACCCATTTTCTGGGAAACCAACTTAAGAGGTTTGTACTTACCTTCTCCTTCCCTGAAAGCTTGGCAGTTTGAAGACACATTAACACACACAGCCAAAAGCATACTACTCCTTTTGAAATAATGGTCTCGGATTGTTAATGAACAGAAAAACCTTCCCAGATTTACTTGGTCAAAGCCCACTCTTGTTCCAACTGCAGAGACAGAAGCGGTACAGACTGCATTTCAAAATCACGCCTCGAGTTAAAAGAAGAACAAAAAAAAGTAATCTGTCAAATATTTTTACATTAGAAACATGTCAGCATAGCGTGTAGATTTGAATATTCACTAAGACTAAATTTGTCTAACAAATGATCTACTGTGAAGTATTTGCTTATTCCTGGCAATATCCTAAAAGTAGAAATTGTCTGTTGCCGTCATTGATTTCATTAGAGTTTGTTCTAATTGATCACCCATGTCCTAAGACATATGCTTTTGTCTGGCTGTATTTAATGAAGAAGGACCATCAACAGCTAACGCAACTTCAGAAATAACATTTATATGCCATTCTATTTTTCCTTCCTTCTGTTTTTCCAATTTAGTCTCTGAACCATAAAGTGTACAAATGACGAAGCTGCATTTGAGTTGCTTTTGCATCTGACATGTAATGACAGTCAATTACCTGAACTATTATTTCTTACTGTAGAATAAATCACTAATGCCAATTAAAATAAAGTCATGCTTTTATTATGTATTTGAAGCACCCAGTCAACCGCCAGGAAACGTTGTGTGGAATGTCACCGACTCCAGAGTAATCCTCAGCTGGGAGGAAGTAAGAGCTATGGAGAACGAGTCTGCGGTGACTGGGTATAAGGTATGTAAAAACAGGCCACAAAAATATCTGAAAGCAATCCACAGTTGGTTTTTCTTGTCTGTTTGCAAGGCAGCAAGGTCAGAGGATGTGCAATCCCACTTTTAAACCGTTTCAGTAGTGTCTCCTTTTTATAGATTTCAATCATACTCCAACAATGTCTCAACCTGTGGTCCTTCTACCACGACCGTTACGCTACACGCCTTCTCCTCTTCATGCAAACGAAGCCAGGAACTGCAGGCATTGCTGCCAGCTCTTGGGATCCCGCTTATCCAGGTGTATAACACGTGGATGTTAGCACATGTATAACACTGATTACAAATGTGCAACACTTACCCACATGTACAGCAGTTTGAAAGAAACCAAATGATCCAATCTGTAGCTGATGGGTATGGTTTCCACTGCTGGCCAGGTATATTTATTAGTACCATATATATCAAACTGATATTCATACACCTTTTTTTTTTTTCTTACCTACTGTGGGACATGCCCATTGTCCTGATAGGAACGACATTGCTACATCTGCTCTAAGTCTGATCAGCACACAAAAGTACAAGTATTTAAATATGTCATATCTGAAGTACGTTTTAGAGTGTAGCTGAGGATGTTCTTGACGAGCTGCGTACGGCTGGATCCCGCGTGATATATTCTTGCATAAAAGATTTATGCTGGAGATCTGACTGTGCAGTGTCCTGAGTCGTATTGGCAAAAAATACATGTTTACAGCTTATCTCAGCCCACCCAGTTTCCTAGACGGTAGCTGACCTAAAAACATACCGTGTAGAGTTCCAAACTGCATACTCGGGCTCCCGCAACAATTTCAGGTTCCCCCTGTGGATAACAAACGTTGCTAAGTACACAAGGATAAGCTGAATTTTGATAAAGCCGGTTAATTTTACTGAAGTAAAGCACTTGGGAGGGGGGTTTTATCCCAGAAGGCAAGGGCAGGACAGTGACCAAGAGTTGGTTTGCCAGGAAGAGCCAGTGGGAGGGCCAGAGCAGCGAGCCACGCTGGTGTTTCCCCCGAGGACGTTTTCTAGCAGGGCACGGCCTTAGGGAGCAGCATGTGTGTAATTACCGCGGCTCTGCATTTTTTTCTCATCTCATCATCATTACCGTTATTTTGGGGGAGGTGGGATTGCTGGTTTTTGCAATGGGAAACTCTCAAGCTTACCTGCTTGTCAAAGTTGTGAAGCTCTGCCAGATGAACGCACTGGCTCCACGTTATTTTTTTAAAGTCTGCCAGGACATGACTGGCACTAGGGACCCTTCGGGCTCATCAAGCCTTCAGCACCGAAGAGAGGCTGATGTTGCTCTTAAACCTCTGCTCCTGCCTGATCGTAGTGAGCAGTGGGCTCTGACGTTCAGATGTAGCTCCCGTTCTTTAAAACACCAAATGCACTATTTCCTGACAGAAGAATCACTCAGCACTTGCAGAACATCTTCCAGCATAGTCTGTAATTTTGGGTAGTTCTCTCCTTCCCAAACTATGTATTGGCATAAGTTGTTGATCTGGATAACGACAGATTCCAAACGGTGGGATAATTTCTAGAACAGTGTATTATTAAGACAGTCGGCAGAATGCGTTATTAATTTGTTATCGTTACATATTGTGCCATTTTAGATTAAAGCTGGAATAAAAGAGCTTGACTGATGTTACCCTTCTGTCTTTATATGTAATTCTGCCCTGTAGTGTTAACCAAAAATCACATCTTTTCCCTCGTCCCATCTTTTCAAAGACTGGAACCTGGTTTCTAAGAAACAAGTAAAAATTGCTGCTCAGGTCCCAGTGGAAGAAACGACGCGCTCCAGCTCTTCGCTTGCGTTGCAGGTTTTGTACAGGACCAGCAGTCAGACCAGTATGAACGTGCTGAACACGGACAAGACAACCGCTGAGCTTTTACTCCAGTTCAATGAAGATTACATCATAGAAGTAAAAGCAACAACTGATGGCGGGGATGGCACTAGCAGTGATCAGATCCTCATTCCCAGGCTAGCTAGTAGGTTGAAGCTCCATCCTTGTTTTATCACGTGCTTATATAGGGTCCCCAACCAATACCCTATAAACCTGCCACCATATACAGAGGCTTGTCTTGTATATGGTGGCAGGTATAGCTTGTCTTTGGAGGAATTGAGTCCTTATTGATGGGGAGAAAAAAAGAAGTAATACTTGCACATTGTATCGTGACAAGGCAATAAAAAGAGAAGCAGTGAACAGTCTTCATGCCCTTAAGCGTGACAAACTTCATTCTATTGAACTGGTAAATGACCATGTACGTTGGTATTAAAAGCATTGCATTTTTTTACTGTTTCTCCCTTTTTTTTATGATTACCTTGAAAGTAAAGACCATTCATACAAGTTTCAGCATTTTGCAAGGCATTTCTACAGTTTTAAAATATTTACTATATTTTTGTCAATTTTCATTGCTTGTCAGAAATAAAAATTTACAGTAATTTTTGCTTAGCGTCTAGGAAGAGTAATAATTTGGCACAGCAGAAACTCGTGCTTTCATTTAATCCTGACCTTTTTCATTCGTCGCAGGTATGGATGCAAGAGGTTCTGGTCCGTCAGTCTTGAATATCTTCAGCGTATCCAGCTTCTTACCAACAGTATTTTCCTTGACTCTTAATTCAGTGTTGTGATGATACATTTTTCATTTGCTGGGGGGAAGAAAAAAGAATTGGTTACTACGGAAAAGTGCTTTTTTAAAAAAAAAACTGCAGTGGTTAATGCATGTTTTTCTTCTATCCTGACGTGTTTTTAAATTCTTTATATTTCACTGTAGGTTGAAGTAAAAATATCATATAAAGTTTAGCAAATCCTTTAAAAAGGAATCTAAAATGCCTTAATACTTGAACCAAAGGAGTTTACATATTACATACTTCAGATACAATGTAAGAGAGGGAGAGCAATGGCACTGTGATCAGAGTTAACGAGGAAGAGGGTAGCCCAGTGAGAAACTCCATTTTTGCAGTGACACTGAAAGGTTTTGGCTATGTTGTGCGTTGTTACGATAACATCATTCTGCATACGAAACTTGAACTGGAACGTGGTGTCTCATTCGGCCAGAAACACGTCGACCAAGCGGCCGTTCTTCAGACATTGTCGTAATCCTGTAGGTTTGGAGCCGTTTTCTTACGGCCCTTTACGTAAGTTACCCTAACTCCAGCAAGAAATCAAAGCTGGGAGGTAGAGAAGAGTCACAGTATGGCTCTTGGTTTTGCACAGTCCGTGCTGGGGTGTCCCACGTGCCAGGGCTTCCACTGCTATTCTTAAGAAATTATTTCACAGCCGTGTTTCAAAGAAGGCTCTCTGTTTTATCGCAGCGTACGCTTACGTACCTTTTCCAACACCTAACCTTCCTCTCCATCAACAGATTCTGAAATTAACCTCCTTCTGTCCCCACCTTGTATTTCTTAACCAAATCCTCCCACCTTCAGGATCATTTTTATTGCCCTCCTGTGAACTCCTGTCAGTGTGTTTCACTAACAAGAAGTGCCCAGCTGTAAGCATTTTTGAAATGCAGTTGCACCATGGCCTTACGTAAAGGGACTACGACCACCTCCCTACCTTGTGATGTGGTGCTTCCAAATAAGCAGCCCCAAATTATCTTCCTCTTTTGACTACTGCACTGTAAATTCATCCTTAATTCAGTGTTACATTCGTGTAACTCTCCTTCCTGCTGCTCTTTAACCAATTCAAAACTATTTCACCTGGTCTGGCACTCTGATGCACCCCATTATTGTCATATGATTCTGGTAAGTTTATGGCAATACTATAAGTTATAATAAAAAATTACACGATGACACTTCAGGCTCGCTATTTTAGAGAAATCTATGCTTTCTTTCATAGCAATATATTAAAGATACATTAAACCTGGTACATTGGACTTCTACAGATGTGAATTTACTCAAATCAACATTTTAGACACCTTTTAGTGAGCTGCCTACATACGTGGTAGAACAAATGTTCATGTGACATAAAACATATCCTTTTAAATACTGGGTTTTTTTAATCGCACGGTATTACTAGAACACACAGAAATATAAAGGGAGAGAACCAGGATTAATGAAATTATGGTAGTACTGTAGAAAAAACAACCTTGATATGCATTCAGATAGCAAATTACCTTATTACTATCACATCCAGATAAAAACGTGCTGTTGAAGTAAGCAAGATCTGTATATACTGTACATATATAGTTATAAATGGCTAGTTGCTTTCCAATGTGGCTAACCAGTGATGTTTTCAGACACTTGCAACTGGGGGGGGGGTTGGGGGGGGGGGGGAGATGGAAAACCAGGTGTTACTTGTAAGTATAGAGTTGTGTTTCATGCAACAAAGGGTGACTCTTTCTATTCTTGTGCCACAAAATTCTAGTCCATGGTCCTGTATTGCCATTTTCATGCAATTACATTGTATTATTTAATTTCTAGTTATATATCTCCATGAGATATGTACCGAGTACCTTGTTTCATATTGAAAAGTTTGAAATTTATCCTTAAACTTCCAGTTGTGTGTGTATCCTATGGTTATCTGTATGCATTTTTTTTCTATTACTCTAATAAAATATTTATTACATTGAGGGATACTAGAGTATTTCAAAGCATTATTGCTTGTTTGTATTATATTTGCACACATGAGGATTTACTGCATCTAAAAAATGGTATTTACTGCATCTTCCTGGCACTTCGTGGCAGGACAGGAGTGGTTCCCCACACACAAGCTTTGCTGCTGAAAGACAAAAATCCCAACCCGTATACCCGAGCCTTTGTCTGCAGGAGGGAGGAGGGAGGACCTAAACACACCCGGGGAGCTCTTACCTCTGCCCACAGCTTCGCGCCTTCCCTGGCTTCGCTTCCCACCTCTCCCATTGGGCTGTTTCTCCCCTCTGGAAAAAAAAAAAAAAAAAGTGTAATTACACTAAAGAATTAGTTCTTTACAATAATTTATTTAGTCCATCACTATTTAGCACTACATGGCATGCCTCCTTTCCCCTGCAGCTTCCCCTAAAGCCCAAGACTTTCTAGCACTAAAACCTTCTCACTGGGAACAGGGGCAAAACAGAACCATCCGTTTAAACGCGCTTTTCTGGCATGGCTTCTGCCTACGGTAAGGGGGAGCTGATGCAGGTGCTGCAGTAAGGGTTAATAATAATCCCAAATGGGGATTATTACGCAGGAGGCAAGACTTGTCAGGTCTTCCCTTTCCAGAGGGTTGGAGGTAGACATGTGCCTTGCTCTGTATTTATTTCCCCCAATATTCAGATTAGTTTCCCTTTAAACTGACCTCTTTGTTCCCCATCTCATGTCAATTCAGTTAATGTTGACATTTATTAGCAGTAATAAAATTGGGCTTTATTCTCCAGGGGGAGTTGGAAAAAATAAGTTATTGGGAAAGTGTAAGAGGAAAAGATGAAGAGCCAGTAAGTGATACGGTGAGAGGGCCCTGAGCCAGCCTACCTCTTGCAGGCGTTTCCAGAGCAGCTTCTGTGACTGACCAGTCCTGGGGAGAAAAAAAAAGAAAAAAAAAGAATTATAATGAGACCTAATAATTATAATGCCACCTAACGTGGTTTTTTCATTCTTTCCTGCCAAATGTTTATATGAGGCAACTCGATGACTCCTGTGCTTCTAAAGTCTGAATTTCTCAGAGGTAGCTGGTATATGGAAAAAAAAAAAAAAGACAAAAAAAAAAAAGAAAAAAAAACTAAAAACCTTTTTCTTTGGACAGTTTACTCTGTCGGATATGTTGTGAACATGCAGGATCCTCTATGAATACAAAATGAGTTAAAAACTAATATCACTTTAGCCCCAAGAAATATTGGAGATCTCCATTATCTACTTAATTTGCCTTTCACTGGTAGAATGCAGACGTGGGCAGTGCCTGCCAGGTTATATATGTTATGTCTTAATAACAGGCAATAAAGCAAGCTGTCCTGCACGAGGGAGTGCATTAATCTGACAGCTTTCTGTCTGAAATAAATAACAATGGAATATTGTGAAAATAAAATGAGTTTGTAAACAGGCACTCGCTCTCTTAGGAAAAACAACCTCCTCGATTGTTTTATGTTAATGCTTTGAACTCCTGAAAAGCAATAAAAAAGGATATGTTTAGCAGAGAAATAACTGAATGTATGTTACTGTTTGTTGTTTTATCGAGCCTGCTTGATAAAAAGAGGCACTACTTTTCTTTCAAGCCGATGCGCGGTGCAAGCTGCGACGTGATGGGGGGGAGATGGTGCACCACCTAACCGGATCTCTGGCGATCAGCCTTACCCCCTTAGGAAAGAGCTTTTCTGCAAAGGCTTTTCACAGTTCATAGCTGCCTCCCTGGCGTGCGTACAGCTTGGGATGTGCAGCCTATGAAACAGGACAGACACTCGTCTTTTTTCCAAGCTCAACCCCTCTTTCCGCAGCCTCGGCGAGCGGCGGCTGCCCGCACCCTGAGAGGTGCTTTTCACGTCTCGCCTTCGCCTTGGGTGTCTTCCCCCAGGCCAGCCAAGGCGGGGGGACACCTCCGCTGGTCACTACCGCCCCGTCAGAAAGGGCTGGCGGCAGGACGAGGGGATGCAGCCGCCCACGGGCATCGTCCCCGGGGGCTCCCGGGGGCCGCGCAGCCGCTGTCCCGCCAGAGGAATACGGCTGCTCTGGCAGACGCCCTCGGGTACACGTGTGTGCCTGTGCACAAGTGCTCTCCCCACAGACACAGAGTCGGCAGTCTGAAATAACCCGCGCCAGGCGCCGATGCCGAGTCTGTTTTCGTGTTTTCCTCTTGGCGACGGTGGCCGTGTGTTGCCAGTCCCCCGACTCTGTCCTGCCTCTCGCTAGGCGCGTCAAAAAGTTCCCCTCCCCAACAGTTTCCTTCAATAAACGGACACTCCTCTCTCCTTTCATGGCTCCTCTTCAGCAGCGTTAACTGCCACGTGGCAGTGGCCGCAGTGGCACTTGTGGTTCACACCAAGCTCTTCATTCGCTTTGGCTTTGAACTCCCCCTGCTTTGAGACTTTTCAGTTTGCGCACCAGAGTGTTTTAGTATTGGAATTTCACAAGACCTTCATGTGCACCTTTCCTTTGTTTTCTCCCATCTCTAAGCATCAAGAAAACTTGATAAACTCGTTTGGTATTAAATTCCTTTTCTTGAGCTCCTTGCCGATCTTTTCGAGGTCAAGGAGTATCTTTGAAAGTCCCTTTTTAAATGCACACGTGTAGGAGACATGCCAGTAACCCCATGTAGCATCACTAAGACACTTCCTTCCCAGTGTACCAAAGATTGTTTTCTTACCCTTTAAGAGCATAATTAGTCCGGTGAGGTCTGGACCATGCCTGCTCTCCGTGCTGTGCTCTTCATTCCATCTTAGCGATTAATTCCCTTTGGGTGGGAGAACATCAAGGCATCGGCAAATGCTGAAAAAGAAAGAACCAAAAGCATCCCGTTAGGATCCAACAGAAAGGATGCAACTTCAAGATGTTCATTAGTCCAGCCCATGATAATTTAGACTCAAAGCAACTCCTAGGACTGGGGGGCATCCCAGAATTGTCCATCAGGGAAGAGCAACTTTTGAGAGAGTCAATCCCCTCGCCGCCTGATATTTTTTAGGCCCTCTGAACTCATGGCTCTGCAGCCCTAAATGGAAGTGCAGATTGATTTTTTTTTTTTTTTTTTTTTTTTTGGCCCCCTCCAGGGAAGCTGCTGCGAATTCTCCCCTGAGATTCGAGGACCTAAACGCCGTTGTCTCCATGCTCATTAATTTAGGACGAATATCAAGAGGCGGGAAAGGCGTTCGTTGGGATTGCTCTCCCCAGTGATTTTATTTTAGGGAATCTTTCCATTTTATTCTGGAACACAAGCAATGACTTGTTACATCAGCTAAAGACATAAGAAGCAAGCCTGAGAAAATAAGGGAAGGCCCTCACTTTCATGCCCTTTATGATACAAATAATATATCATTTTCCCAGCTGAGGACCTGTAAAGGAGTCTATCAAAAAGGACATGTGTTTAACAAGAATTTCTCTCATTAGCAACCCAAGAAGGGCCGTGGTTAAAGCAGGCAAATAATTTAATTTTTGTCACACTTCCTAACATTGCCACCAAACAGGCATTTAAAGTTACGCTTGTCACAACACTAATTATCTGTTTGAACAGCAGAGCTCTCAGCTGATTGAATGAGTTCTGCAGTGAGAACAGATCGTTTCATCTGACAGTCATTACTTTTTGGATATAGGATGTAAATCAACTTTAACGAAAGAGAATACAGCTTTGATACCTTTACATCAGCTTCATATGAGACAGGGGGGGAACTCCTCTGCAGCAGCCAAAAGCTTCTGCTCATGTACTGGAAAACAATGTCTTGGGGTTTTGTGTTGCCTTGGAAACATGAAAAATAAAGTGCCGTTAATTACCTATTTTCGAGCAACCTGAGTATCCAGTGCCGAGGGCCTGATCCAAGGCTAATGAAACCCTTAGCCCAGTTTCAGCAGACTTTGACTGATCATCAGCCTTTCTAAACAAGGGGAGGACTGAGGCAGAGCAAAGCTCAGCCGAGTTGCACTTCTGACTGTGTCTCCAGAAGAGTTACCAGAAGGCGACAGGCAGACGCTCAAAGTGGTGGCTCGCAGTGGTTCCTTCTTGCCTTCACATCCGTGACTTTGTTAGCACTGTCATCTGTTTATTTTTTAAAATACATGCCCTCTTTTTTCAAAGGGGTACTGGCAGCTGACGCGATAGCCATCCATGCAAACACATACACAAGGCCGGTATAAATCCCACGTATATAATTTCTCCAGGTAGGAAATCATGCTAACAGTCCCAGTCATCGCCACAGAAGCATGAGCTCAGCCTGACCTGCTGTCATGCTCTCTGCCCCAAATACTTCCAAATAACAAAGTCTCTACTATTCTGTCTTTTGCACAATAATTTTAAACTGTTAATTAAACATTTTTTAACTACAGAGTGCTCGCTCCTTTTCCTCCCATTAGTATTGGTGCTTTGGTCCTAATTATAACTCTCTGAAATAGGTGAAGACTAGAATCAACCTCTTCTCGTGGGAGCTTGAACTCGTCCTAAAATTTTCTTTTGGAAAGACTGTTCAGCTCCCCTGCCAGCACAGCCCAAAGCAATCAGCTAAAACTTCAACCACAAAGATACGGAAGGATAAAAATAATTCCAGTAAAATCATCTTAATTTTCTCCAGGAATCCTTCTCACTTATGAACTATGCAAAGTGTCCCTTCTCTTTCATTTACAAGTAATATTAAACTTTCTCTATCGACCCACAAGTTTAGAGTATTTTCCACTCATTCACGAGGTCAATCATCATTGCTAAAGAACCTCAACTATCTGCTTTCAGGTTTGGGCTGGGTTTTAACACAGCAGTACCTGACACCACTGAAAGTATTCCAGTCAGTAGGTGCTGGGACGGGGTGATGTCCCGTGTGCCGCGCAGCCTGTTCAGGGTCGGGGACGCGCTGACGGGCGGGAGAAATGCCCGAGACTCCAGCGCCCGATTCCAGCCGTACCTACAGCTTGTCCACCATATGCACACGCTCCTATAGAATCACACAATTGTTTAGGTTGGGAAAGACCTTTATGATCATCGAGTCCAACCATTAAGCCAACACTAAACCACATCCCTATAAGGTACTCTGCCCCATGACCGTTGGCATTAGTGTATAAGAAGCTCAAGACCTGTTTCAGCTCTTGCAAGCAAAACGCATCAGCAGCATTTCAAACTGCCTCCTCCGTTTAGGAGGGGAATGAGCAAAATAAGCTGGAGACTGCGAGTTCTCCTTGGTCTCGTGCAGCCTCCTCTCCACCTGAGGTGCTTCGCCACTCAACATACTTCCAAAGCAGGATAATTAACATTTTAAGAAAAGTAATCTGCCAGGAACATCTGTTTGCTGAGAAAATCATCTCTAACCAAACTCAACCCCTTCCTTTTCTCCGCTGACGCTGTTCAACAACCACAGCTGAGAGGGATCGTATCGAAAACTGGTGACGGTCCCCACCGTTCGGAGTGCGTGAGCTGGGGGAAAGCCACAGATCCCGCCCCACAGCCGCCCCACAGCTGGTTCTCCCCTGTCACTGTCCCAGGGGAGGGGATCCGGAGCTCCTGCCCACAGCACCGGGCAGGCTGCTGCGAGAACACCACTTTCATCTTGTAATGCTATGCAAACATGGCAAATGCTATTTTTATATTTGGTCCCAGCTATTTTCAGCAAAAATTTGCCTAAAATGACACTGAAAGACAAGCTTCTCCTTTAGTTAGCCATTCATTTCTAAATGAGCTCTTTATATGGGTAATTTTGAGTTTTCTTTTCTCTCTCCAATTTTCCTCAGGAATAATGCCGCTGGCAATCTCCACGAATCTCTTTTGACTCTGAAGGTTAAACTGACTACAAGAAAGCTGGATCAAAGGGAGAGAAAAACTTTCTTCTAGAAGCACAGAAATATTTACATAACACAAGATAAGCTAGAACTCCTCGCTGCTACCATGTAGACATGCTTGTAAAGAGCCTATAAAAATAGGCCATTTTTAGTTCAATTGGTGAGGGGAGGAGAAGCAGCATTTTATAGCTCACGCAAGAGGAGGGAGACAAGGCTGGCAATCAGCACAGTTTGTAATGCATCTAATTGAAAAGTTCCAGAGTTTTCAGGGTTTCCTGCCTGAAGGAGAAGAATCTTTCAGCCATTTTGACGCACAAGAGGAAAAGAGAACAAAGCATCCCACGGCACCCACTGCAGCCTGGGGCTCACACCTGAGCAGCAAACCAAGGACCATGATGGGCAAGTAAGCCAAAGGTTCAAACTTCCAATGACAAGGCTGACTATTCATTGGGAAACGACCGCCAGAAACAATCAGATTGGTGCAGGCGGCCCTTGGAAATCAAGAGTTTTATTTCAACCTCCTCTTCTGAGCTGCTCTCCGAGCTCCTCATCTGCGACTGAAAATTTTGGCAGCAGTCTAGTAATATGACTGATGAGAGGTAACACAAATTGACTTAGGGTTGGTCATTGCAGAGCAACAATAAAAATGAGATGAGAGATACATTTTTTCACAACATATTTCTCAAGGGTTGGCCTCTTTCTGGCCAGCTCTAGTAAATTCAGAATAATGGGAAGCTCAATACACTTATCGATATTTATTCTAACGAGTTCATCATCTCTCCTCACTGATGTGCTGGAACCAAACCCATAGATGTTTTGGTATCAAACACCCACTTCTGCCTGCCCTCAGAGGAGCTGAGCTATCCGTTCTGCAGTTAATTAACTATCCTCCAGGAAAAAAAAAAAACGAGAAAGGCCATGCTTTAAATTAGATCCATCTGGTAAAGGCTTTCTTGAAAAGGTGAGACTTATGTCATGTTATGGAGCTATCAGAGGCAGAGGTTTCTCAGCAGAGGCCATCTGTCCCGGATAACTGCTGTCAGTTCTTAAGATTATCAATTAGTCTGTAAGGATTGTTTATATGAGAAAGGTGACTGAAGGGTCGGGAGGCTGCCCTCTGAATAGGAACACCGTCGTGGAGTCTAATAAAAACTCAGGTACCGAGATGAGGAGCGGGGCATCGCTTCCCAGCACCTCCCTTCCCTTCAAGGAAATAGCAGGACTCCTGCTCTTCCTTGGGTTCAAGTAAGAAATGAGATGCTGCTGCTTACGGCCACTTTCCTACTGAATTGGAGTGTGCGCTAGAAAGTGTGGGACAGGTTCAGGTCCCTCCCCTACCCAAAGGGTTTTAACCCAGTAGCTCTGATTTGCTTGAAGCCTCATGGATTTGAACCTTAGCCCTTACAGCTACCTGAACTCCCAGCTGCATGTCTGGGATGAAAGCCCAGCGTTCGGAGATGAAGGTACCCTGATTTCTAGACCTGGATAACGTGCTAACTAGGCTCTGCTACACACAGCCCGTGACGCGGTCACAGCCACAGCTTCAAGATTAAATTGCTGCAAACCTCATAGGAGTCTCAGACCACAGCCAGGCTTGGATCTTTTTTTTTTTTTTTTTTCCCCCCCCATTCTATGTAATTTCAATTAATGTCCAATGTGCCGCGTGCTCTATTCTCTGGCCACGGCACAGGTGAAGTGCAGTCACACAAGTCCTGCTGTTACTAAAGCAGCTTCTGTCTCGCTGCTCTTATCGGGGCAGCACAGGGCTGGGACCAGCTTGTAAGGAGAGAAATTGCTTACATAATTTATGATGTCTCTTGTTGTCAAAATAACCAGACAAGCTTAAAAATATAAGCAGACACTGCAAGGAACAATATGCTTAAAATGTTGAATTATACGGTAGTGGCATAGAATAGAAAATACTTGAAATTAGAAGTGAATAAAAATGTAAGGTATTAGAGAAACGTCATGCGCTTTCTGTATTTCACCCATCAATAATGCATCATACCTTGCTTTAAAGACTGAAGATGATGATGTCTAGGTGGCTCAAGGTATCTGAAGCGCCAAATAAACGTTCCTGCAGCAAGTGGGCTCACTGGTGGCATGTCACACCTGTAACCTCCAGGGAAGCGACCCGCCAGACAGCTGCTCTACTAGGGCTTCACAGGAATTTTTCATTAGTGATAAAAAAAAAAAGGTGTTTGGACGTCTATTTCTCGGTATGTGCACAACACCGAAGTTATGTGAGCCCGGTAACTCGTACACAGAGAAAACAGATGCCCACATGAACATGCCAAAAGGTGCTGGAGCATCTCTGTTCACCGAGGGAAAAAATCTTCCTCTCCACACCTACGGCAGGGCCAGGGCGCCTGGCTCCCGACTTCAGGAGCTACTCGCTTAAATAGGTGATGACAAATACATGAAGAAAACAAATAGACACAGAAAACCGAGGGAGTGGGGGGCTGTTTTCTAAACACCAGCAGCAGACGCTGATTGCCAGGTTGCAGATGGACACCACGCATTTTAGAAATTAAACTGTAAGTTGTCGGGTTGCGTTTTTTCCCCCATCAGTTGGATTTCTGTCTGTGGGAAAATTTCCCTCACAGGGGCTCTTTTCATAGAAACAGCAGGGCATGGAGCGGTAACAGCGTGAAATGAGAGATCTTGAAAAGCAACGCCGTTCTGCAGGAAGCCCTGCATTTGCATGTTAAGCTACAGCTATTCCCCAAACGCTCAGACACATGAAAGCAACCCCCGATTTTTAGTTCGCAGCAGACCTTTTAGCTTCAGCCTGAATTGAAAGGTCACGCGTGTTTAGAGCTTTTCTTTGCGCTTGGCTGGGGCAGCGGTGCGCAGCCCTCCTTAGGAAGAGAGGTGAGAAAAGCGCCGCCTCAGCCGTGCCGGGACGTGGGGGTCACAATCCCCTCTGTAGCAAACAGTGTCTGGCACCAGCCCCCGTTCCCGGCGACGGTGGCC